GATGCACCTCTGCTGAGCTTGGAGGAGGTGAAAAGCTCCTGAAAGGTGAAAAGCTGAAAGCTTTTCTATTCCATTGTCATCCTTAGCCACCTCATCCACCAGCAAACATTTTGAGTGTGAAGGCAAACAGAGCGCATTAAATGAAGAGCGAAATGTTGTTCGGTCAAAGTATTTCACATTTTTAATAGAAGCAAGGATCTACCAGATTAAGCACAGCTAGTCACTGGGATGCATTTACCGTCTGTTTCAAGTAGGTGGTTATGTTAACTGAACAGGACTATGGTCTGCTGTTTGCATCACTGGTCTGGGATTTAGAAGATCTAACAGGATTCCTGATCTGCTAACAGAGCCCTGCCTGAACTTGACCAAGTTACTTAGGCTCTCCAGTTCAAAGCTCCCAGGCGAAATCAGTAGTGTTTCAGTCGCCTTGAGAAAGTTCTGGATATGGGCTCTTATCACTTTTGCTTCTCTCTGCTGCCTGCAAACTAGAGCCAGAACACTCTTACTTGCATGGCAGATAAATCAATCAATGCTCTTATTGAGCTAAACCACTCTGGTGACAAGAAAAACAGTAAAACAGGCTTGATGCACGTGATTTGGTGATAACAGACCAGGAGTAAAACATCATTACCTTAGAGATTTGCACAATGCGATCAACCTCTGAATCAGCCATTTCTGAGATACATTTTGCTACATCGATATAAATCTCCAGCTCGCCTCTCTGGAAACAGAAAAGTAAATGTACGTTTAGATGTTCCAGATTCTTCTTCTTCATCATTAAAATTGGTGAGTCCAGGAACTTTGTTAATTATCATGATGAATATTTAATCTAGTCTCTAGCCTTGTTTTATTTATTCTGTTTTAGAAATTCTGTAGTTGCTGGGGAATTCAATGTACTTAATTATTAAGGAAAATGGTATCTGAAAAATTTCAAAGAGTTTGTTTTATTTTTAACGGAAAAGTGCCCTTCCTTGGAGATGTTTTCTGTAGCTAGACGATTTCTTTAAATCACTACGAGAAGCTGAATCTTCTGTGGGGGAAAAATATACTACTTCTAATTGCTCTCTGCTTCTGTTTCAAAAACATTTATTTCAGTACTAATACTGTATTTTTCCATTACCAAATCATTTATGAGGGAAAAGTGTACATTAAATTGGTTTTATGACTTAGTCATATTCTAAAGAATATCTGAAAGTAACAAACTGAAACTATGCAGGCATCTTAACTACTATCGCTAAAAACTTTATGTCTACTTCATGTTTGAAATCTGATGGGTCAGTGAAAAAAGACGGGACTTACCATCAGCAAAAATATTCAGTTACAGAGTTCATACACCTCATACTTATTCCTTACCTGAACCTCATTTGGTAGAAGCTCAAATATTTTCTCCACAGCCTGGCACAGAAAACTCCAGCAGCACTGGGCAGGGTTTGGAACTTTCATTGCTTGCATGAGCCCCTGTAAAACACACTGGCAATTTTCTGGATTTTTTGTGCGGTTCTTCACTTCGAATTGTTGTATCAGAAACACTTCTGTAAAAGATTGTAGCTTGTCTTCTGCAACATGTTTCATCCACAGGGGTAGGGACATGAGAAGGTATTTCTGGGTTTTCATCTGAAAAGCCAAAAATTTTGCTTAGTTTCAGACTCAGGTCTTCACTGACTTTCAACTATTGTTATAAAGGATGAAATGATAAAAAAGTGGCTGAAACACCACTTAAAAAAACCACTCAATGTTACAAATACTTCTCAATTCTTCTTCCCTCTTCTGAAGAATTGCTTGAATTAAAAAGCTCAAACATGTCAATATTTTATTTTCCTTAAAAACTGATGAACTTTTTTTAAGTGAATCATAGATATCTGTACCAGCAGGATAATTGTGATTTCCCAAAAAAAACTGAATTCACACGTAAAGCATACAGACTGAATAGACAGCCAAGTACAGAAGTATCATAGTTCCGGCACCAGTAATACTGTCAGCTAGTGTGGAAGAATGAATAATATACCTTGAAGGAGTCCAAAGCTTACATGCTCTGTGGCTGACCTCAAATCCCCACTGCAGTGAGACACCACAAAATCTTTCTTTTTTTGGTACCTTACCAATTCTGTATCTTCAAATTGCCACTAAGTGTTTATATATCTATGAAGACTAATGAATTAAAAATTGTAACACAAAAACACTCCTTGAAGAACTGGAAAAGATCACAGAAATCCACAATGGATTTTCTGAGAATTATCATGAACTTGCTCCTCAACTTGTATAAACTAAGAGAACTGCACAGTCAAGTGCACCGTGGGATTCAGGGAGTTTTACATAATATATCATGGAGTCCACGTTATGCATCTGTAAGAAGAACTGCACTGTAGTAGAGGATAAGCCCACTACTACGGGTTAGTCTATTGACTACAGAATTAAAACAAGGTTTTCAAAAAGTAACATATTTTACTAGGTCAAGAGACATTGCTGGAAGAAGCAGGCAAGCTTTTGGACAGATAGGTTGGACTTTTTTCTAAGACTATCAGCTGGTATAATAAAAGGTACTTTTTTTCTCTACATGCCATGCCAACTTAATATCTCTAGGCTACCAAAGCTATAGCATGAAATGAGAGCGAGGAAAAAGACATTAAGCAATTTAAGCAAAGCCAATGTAGCAGATCTTAGGTCTGCCTTGAATTTCAAGGCCTCAGAATAGCCTTTTTCTCACTATAAATATTTACCAAACAATATTTCTGCAGAATAGTGAACCCAGTAATCCTTTTCTGGTGAGACATCCTAGACATCATCACTGAGAAATCTTACAGGAAAGAGGTGCTGAGGTCCCACAATTTTTCTGACATACGTACACTAAGACTGTAGACAAGGGGAGGTGCCACCCACATCCCCAAAAGCACTGCTGCGTTTTGAGATGACTGGGCCTGTGTCACAGCCAGCTGAAGGCAGAGATGTTTCACCTCATCACCTAAAACAGAGGAAAACAAACAGAAGCTATGAAGAAATTAATTTCACTTTAAATTTGTTCTCAACTCATAAAGGAGGGTTATTGTTCTATTAGAGCTCTACATTAAAATTTGTTTTTCTAGAGATGCTGCTTAGAGCTTTTAACACATACATGTTAGAAGTCTCCTCTTCCCATTCACACACTTTCAGCAAGAAACATCAAGATTTGTCAAAGTTCATTTCAACTCACTCAAGAATGAAGACGTGCGAACGGTAAGAAAAGTAAGAATTAAAAAATTCCTTGCCAAATAAAGACTTCATCTACAGAAGGAGAAATGAGTCAATATTCCTTCCTGCTAAATATAGGAGTAATTAGAATCTGTTCACATGTTTCTACTCTTCCAGGTACCCCATGTTCATATAATATCTCTGAGGCTAGTCACTGTTACTGCTGTGAGTGCTGGGTTGCAGAATTCTACAGGTTAACATGTGGGAAGACCTTACTGTGCATAGAGGTTATGATGGTTATGGAATCCTTATTGGTTTCTCTTTAAAGTCCCTTTAATGACTGGTACAGCCTGCTTCTTTAATAGAATAACTAGTCATAAATATGTCAAAGAGATACTTGGAGCAATGGAGTGACTTCCACATAGTTAATGATTGCTACAGTAACACAAGGAGAAACAATTTAAGCAATACTAGCATTTGGCCCATTAGATAGAAGACACATTAGTGTTACATGCAGCATAAAACTTAAATAGGTGCTTTGCAAGTTAAAATGTTCTTTCAGTAAGGACAGTGGCGATCTATATAGCATGACTTCTATAAAGTTCACTAACACTAGTGCATGAACGAAGCGAAGATTTAAGAATCTAGTATTGTTACCCAACAATAAAGGGGTTAAAGTTTTTGTGTACAAGTTTCATGAAGGGTTCAGTCAGCAGTGGGTGATTTACGCATACCTAAAGAAACTAACGAGATGTCCATCCTTGAAGCTGTCAGGGGTGTTTAAAAAGGAGACTCTGTATCAAGAACTGTCTGCCCTTGAAGAAAGAGAACATCCCAGAAACTGCATAAACTTTGTGATTGTGTTTTTCTGAGCTGTGAACGTGCAGTGACTTGGGGAAAAGGTAATTCCAGCAGGGGGGGATCGCGACCAGTGACTCATGAACCACCTGCCCTAAACATACCCCAGACCCAAAAGAAAGGGGCGGAGGAAGAGGAGTGAGCATGTGAAGTAATTTACATGTAAAGCGAGAGAAAATTAACCAATTGTTTCAGAATATGTAAACATGTTATGAATTATGCATGACTGTAGTGTATAACTAATTTTCTGCCCAGAAGCCGGGTGTGCACGCCAGGAGGAGAAATCCCCCGTGCACCCAGCACTGCAATAAAGAATATCTGCTTTCTAAAACTCCAAAACCAGTCTTGGAAAGTTCAGTTTCCTTTTCAGGTATCAGGCTCTTCGAAACAAAATATCTTATACCAGAAGTTAAGTCATTTGCGGAACTCAGAAAGGGTGAAATTGTAACAAGACAGTTTGGTAAACAGTTCAGAAATTCTCTCAATAGCTTGCACTGCAAAGACACAGATTATGATTTGCCTACGACTGTTCACTTCACAGTGCTGCTGAAAAACAAACAGGTATGACTTCAGTCACATCATATGGTTTCTGCGCAGCAACAACTGCAATAAGCCTTGTAAGATTGGAAAGCAATCTCTCCCTTCTTGCCTTCAACATGTTTTCAAATTAACAAGTCTTCACAGTAGAATTTGTGAAACATTTAAGGTTCATAAAAACAGCCATGAATTCTCAGACATGAGTAACAGTGACCTAGAGCATCCAACAGAATTGAGCATAAAGCATAATTTTCACAAAAATATTCAAGATATAGTTGTTCCAGAAAAAGTGCAGTAGGGTGCCACATTTCTAGGTGGACTGTTACGTCATCATACAATTGCTCTGCATTATACTATCTAGCACAACACTAATATTGCTCATCAGCACACAGCAAGACCTATTTCTGCATGTGTACATAATCTAGAGAAAGGTGTGTAGACTATGATGCTGTCTGAAGACAATAAAACATAGCCACAAAATTGACGTATTGTTTCCTGCGAAACTCCCCTGATTTACAAAAGTAAGACTCCCAAGTGAAAAACAGGATTAAAAAATTTCCCCATACCTTTAACAAGTTTCAGCTGTTCATATCATCGCACAAAAATTTGCATATCAGCATGGACTGTAGAGCTCAGTACAGGAAATTCTTTCCCTTACTCTTACAAAAGACTTTACAACCAATTACAAGAATACCAAGTAAAACAGAAGTTGCAGTTCAAAGGTAAGCAAAAATGTTTAATACGTAGCCAAATCTTTCTGTATTTGGCAAGTGGTTGTACCTCATGGGGTAATTCACTGATTTCTATGATTCTGGGCTTTACAGCACATCAATTTAAATACAACAGCATTTGCCCAACTGAGTTGTAAAAGAATGTTCAAGGCAAGTAGTAACAGTTACATAAATCAGGAGAAACAAAACTCAGTGGAACCAAACAAGAGAATACAGAACTTTGCACAGTAGTTTGTGTTTTTTTGTTTGGTTGGTTTTTTTAAGGAAGTTGAAACTCAGATACTTGTATCAACCAAAACAGGCACTGACAGGTATCCTGAGCAGAAAAACATTACACAAGCTGTCCAACACAATACTTAAACTAGTGATAGCTAGATGAACTACAGAGCAGTTCAAACTTGTGATGAAGCTGTCTGCAGCCTCTGACACAGGCACTAGAACAGCATTTAGTGGGTACTGAAAAAAACATGGAATCAGTTGAGTTTCACGATCGGCTCTTGTTACTGTAAACAGTTCAAATGAAAACTTTGGTCCAATTTCACCAGTGTTTTAGGGAATCACGGAATCACAGAATGTTAGGGATTGGAAGGGACCTCGAAGGATCATCTAGTCCAATCTCCCTGCCGGAGCAGGACCACCTAGATCAGATAACACAACAACGCGTCCAGGCAGGTTTTGAACATCTCCAGAGAAGGAGACTCCACAACCTCTCTGGGCAGCCTGTTCCTTCCAATACAGCTCCAAACTTCTCAGCTCTGATCTTCTCTAGTCTTCTCTTGAGTTAAAACAAACTGTTTCCACAGAGTGATCAGAAATATACACTTGTAAACAATAAAATGTTGGTCTTGAAAGCTTAGTAAACACTTCAATCTCTGCAATGACCACAAGCCCTGAAGTGAGCTCTGAAGTTTGTGAAAGTTGTGTTAGTGAAGAAGTCTTGTGATAAGTACAAAAGACATAATAGAAAACTATTAATCTTACCAAAGTTTAGCCTCATCAAAGGAGAAAGAATGGATGCCCAGTTTACAGGTGGATACTGATGGCTTTCTCCAACTAATGCAATGGGTGCCAGTGCTACTTTCACCATCTCAGTTGGGACAGATTCAGGGCCTACAACAGAAGATTCAGAGTCTGAATTTTAAACACACACATTTGGCTAGAGCTCAGGAAAAAAAAAAGTGAACACTGCACTGAAGACCAATCTGTAGTGAAGAACTGAAAAAACTGGAAAGTGTTATAAAATTTCTGTTACTTCTTTTTGTATCTGAGAATTAGCTATCTCTTGTTTGTAATCACAAGTTGCATTTTTAACATTAATGTCCTACCAAAAAGGCTTTTTGCTACTGATAAATAGAAACATCCTAGTTCCCTCTCCTTGAACCAATTCATGAGTTAATTACAGAAGTTCCTCATCTAGTAGGGTGATATTTTTGCATTTGTTAGTAGCAGAACAGCAAAGTTTTCTGACACTGCTCTCCTCTCCCATCCTGTAGGTGCAGACCACAAAAATTGTCAGAAGGTGCTAACCTTTGCTATATAATGTTTTACTTAAAGACAGGGAGTTAATTCAGTGAAAGCCCTCCTGGAGGCAAGGCATGGGGAATTTTTAGCTCTACTGAAAGCAATGCCTGCTTCACAGGACAGCAGTGAGCTCACTTAGCTCCACACAACAATAATTTCCTCTGCTTTAGCTCCCTTAAGACAATACTCCAAGACATCTCTCTTTCACTAGCATTCCTCATGTAACAGCATACTTAAGTTCCTTTGCATTTATCATATATAGCAGTAACCCACTTGAATACCACTCTGTCACAGAGAATCTTAACTTAGGATCACTGAAATAAGGGGCAGCATAAAGTTTGCCTGATGATGGAGTTTTGCTAAAGATATATGCTAACGCTTACAGTGACCTGACTTTCATTGCCTCAGAGAAGATACTTTCATCTCACAAACACAGATGGAAGAGGAAAGGGAAAGGGCTTAAAAAGTCATAAAAATTCAGTGGAGAAAACTAAAGCCCTAACTACACAATTCTACCTTATCTTTTTGAGTGTTACTCATTTTTTTTGTTTAGAGATTAAATATCCCACATTAGTGAAGTTCAAAGGAGTATTTGGAAAATTTCTTTTAGTAACAAAAGCAAGTTATTAGGGTCACTTTTCATAGTCATAACAAATTTCCCAGAGAGATACTCTAGTTTGACCCCTTCTTACCTTTCTTTCCACTTTCAATGGCAAAGTCCATGGCTGCCCTGATAAAGCTGTTTTCAGGCAAGTAGCTGAAATCTGGAGGAACTGAGAAGACAAAAAGACTGTTCATATACTAAAACACGTCAGCAGAAATTATAACCTCCAGCTCCCACGTAAATTTGAAGTCCAATCTGAGCTATGTTTGAGCTAACTAATTCTGCAGGTGACCATAAGATTATTGATAGATGCACTGGCCATTCCACTTTTAAGGTAAGCTAAACATTTGTGTCGGTGAGAGGTGCAAGGTCTGAAAAAACAAATTCATTGACCAACTGAAGCCAAGGATAAGAACTTCCTTAAAAGGTATCAGCCACTGTGAGTCAAGCTTTAAAAGGGAGAGCTTCAAAAGCTTAGTAAGTTCAACATGACAGAGACATTCCATATCTATCTAACCTTAGGCATGTGTGCCAAGATTATACTAAAAGTAGAAACTCCAAGAATTTTTTTTTTCTATGATAAGCAAGTTTATCTACACTTCAGGTTACTGGTTCCCAACTTGGTTCACAATGAAGTGAACAGCTTCCACTTCATTAGTTCCCTATTTCATTAGTTTCTCTACTCCATTCCTTAGTTCCACTTCATTAGTTTCCCTATTTTCCCTAGTTCACTGGCATTGCATCAATAGTGTGATCCTGCCTTTATTTTACCAATGGATATTGAAACAACACCAGAAGGTAATGACGGATCTACAGAATATGAGTTTCTGTGCTGTTACACTGAAAGGGCACAGAACACTAGGTTTAGACTTCAGATATCCAGAGAAGATCTCTTCTAGAAAAACACTTCTGAAAAGTCAGCTTGTTCTTGCTATGGACCAGTTTTTAAGAGTTGGCTTTTTATACAGTGGGAAGTGCTAAAATAAGCAGCAGATGAATCAGTTTTCAGGGCACAGAGTAAATAACGTAAATGTCAAACACACATGCCATATGAAATGTAAAACTTCTTTACAATTTATTCCATAAAAGAATAAAGATAGAAGCAATATACAAGTTTGATCAGAACAACTTAGAACCTTACTTCGATACTGCAAGTAAAAGGAAATTCAGGGGATCCTATTCAGTACAGTGATTCCTGCTTCATGTTCCAACCTTTAGATCTGACACATAGGACCATGAGGTCTCTGACTCAAAGGCTGTCATGTCATTTAATAGGGCTGCCATGTTTAGCCTGTATTGTCCAATGTGTGCCTTGCTGTCTTTTTAGCTAGGTGCTACTTCTGTACGTTCTTTAAGCAGAATCTTACCGGATGCTCTGTTCTGGGTAGAAGACAAACAGGACATATGAAGGCGTCCTAAAAGCCCTGCTGCGTTTGTCTGAAGGCCAATCTGCCCCGAAAAACTGATTATCTGTTGAGACAATTGAGACAATAAACCACTAGTTAGACAAATTTCCTTACATTGCCTCATTCAAGCTGGATACACACATTACGTGGTTTCTTTAAATAGATTTGGCCTGTCTGTGCGAGGTGTCACAGTACCCTGGCGCATTATCCAAAGCAGGAAACAGAGACCACCTTCTTACCTGGGTAAGGGTTCTGATGACTTCATTCAGCTTACTTTGAAACTGGGAGGACTGAATGCTCTCAGATTTCAGCTGCCAGAGAAAAAGAAAGAAAATGATGTGAATTTTATAAGGCAAAAAGAAAACAACAAAACAGAGAACAAGTGCTGAAAAACACATTTGCACACATGCCTTTTTGTAGGGGAGTGAAGGAGAAAAGGAGAAAGCCTACGTGGCCGTAAACTGCCAATGGCACTGCGCATAGGCTGTATGATGGGAAAATGAAATAGATCCCGTTTTAGAAATTGTAATTCTATCCTGCTTGGTTCATACCCAACAGGACTCACCATTGCATCAATGAGATGCCCTGGTATATAACCACTGCTCTAAGGATGCAGAGGATGCCATTCCATCTTGCTTTCTAGCCTAATTTCTAGAAGAGATAAAGGTTACCATTTGCTTGCATGTTCTCACCTGTATCACGCCTCCTTCAGAGCCCACCAGTGCAACCAGCCCATTGACAGCAGCCAGACGCTGCATTGTTGGAGAACCCTGGAAACGTAATTCAGGATCAGTGAGTCAATGTGGTCACACAACACCACTGTAGGATAAAACACTTGTTTCTTCCAACTTAAAAACCATGACTGCTATCACTTGTATGCCTCTCAGCCCCAAAACTTTTTCAGGTCAGGCTCCAGCCTGCTGGTTAATTATTCTTCCCCCTCTTGGTGAATGAAGGCTTTATATGTAGTTCCCCTCTCCTCTTCCCCCGATCTGAAATCGTCATCCATTTCTCCCTGACAAATCACTTTCTTCTAGCACTGTCTGTATTCCACAAAGTACACCAGTGCAATTCAACTCTGAAATACTGCTTCTTTACTGATACTTATCTTCAGCTGCAGTCTTAATGTGTAAGTTTAGAGTTTGATTTCAAGCACACAATTTTTGTTACAATGAGATAGATAAAAATTACTGTAACAACTGACACAATATAATCACCATTCTGTTAGTCTAGTTTTGATAAGTAGCACCTAATTTCACAAGGCACCTTCATTTAATAACTTAGATTTTATCCTTGGATATTGTTCCAAATTTAAGTAATGATGTCCAAATTCAGATCTCATTGAGATAAGCATCTCCCATAAATCATCCAAGCAGAGAAAGTTTTTTTTTTCTTTAGCAAACCGCCCAAAGATTAATCTCTGCTTCCCAATATCAATCAAACAGCATGTTCAGATAGTTGTAAAGTTTTCTAGCATCACTCCTGCAAAAGTATGGAAAATTATGTCCCTACTGGTCATTTAAAATTACTGCCCCTACTTCCCCCCCAAAAATCAGGATATAAATTCAAACTCCTTTACCTCTGCAAGCACAATTTTTATCCAGGCTGGCATTAGTTTGTTACTCAGGTCTTCAGCTTTCCCATGACCACAAGCTGACAATCCATGTACTATTGCACCTAGAGCTAAAGCAAAACCGTGGGTCTGAAAGGTGAGAGAGACACATTAAAAAAACAATCTTCGAAAGGATCCTGTATTCTTTTTAGGATTTATTATTGAAACACTAGTTAAATATTTATTATTTCTCAATAATTAGAAGTAATGCCTTCATCTAAAACACTGGATGCTTTCTTACTTCAAGTATTTTCTCATGTCAAGTGACACAGGATTTTCTGAGATTAAATACTGATCTTTGGCACACAGATTGCTCTGGAGCCTTTATTTTAGAGCAAACTTTCTGATACAAAGATAAAAAAGCTGTAGCAAAGGCAGTTTGTTTTGACTTCCTGTTTTCCAGATAAACATTCCAAACAGTTGATCAGTGTAATAGCAGCCTTTGATTCAAAATGACTGCCCTTCTTTTTTAATTTTTCTTTTCCCTTTTTTTCTGGCAGGCATTTAACTAAAAGGAACATGCACTGAGATACGGAGATTATTTTTGGCATTTTTTGAGGGTAACTCTAGGACACTAGGGATGAAATAGACACCTGGAAGAAGCTGTAGCTGTGGTTATGGTGCACTGTCTGAAGGCTAAGGTAAAGTAAAAATTCAGAAGAGCACAGTACATCTCAGAAAGAAAGATTCTCTTTCCTACTAAGAAAAAAGAATCCAAAGAAATATGTTATAAAAGAGACAAAAATTGGCAGGATGCAGGGACTAAAGACATGAAGAACTCAAAAGTACCAACTTCCCCTCTAAATGCAATCCAACATATAAAATATGTTTTTATTTCACTGTCTGGTAATTGCTATACACCTGTAGACAATGCATCAATGGATCAAGTGGTAGTCTTGGTAATTGCACTGTATGCATAACATACGCAACATTGGTTAATACTCATATAATTTTCTTGAAGTTACAGTCTGGGTAAAGTAGTACTGAATATTAGATAGGTAAGAGAAAAACAGAACTGAAGTGAAGCCCAAACACTGAATTATGACCTGTTGATTATTTTCCACTAAGGTCCGTAGCTTGTTCATGGCCTCCTCAGCCTCAGCTGCTTCTATGATTCCAACACTGAAAGCAGAGACACAGGAACAGGCCACAGAATAGGCAAGTACCTGAAAAAAAAATATTTAATTCTGTTAACCAGTGTCTGATCAAATTCACAGTAGCAATGTGCACATGGAGCAATCTGCCAGCACGATAAAAGAGTCAAGATGCTTTCAATTTGTACTTTCAGATACTTATTCCCTCTCTGAAAGATTCTTCATTGATGCTAACATTAAACAAATACAACTAAAGCTTGGAAGTACTCCGGTTTTACGAAGGTCAAACTCCTGATTTTCCATATCTTCCACACAAACATAGTTATTCTTCTCCACCTAACTATCTGATGATTACTTAAATGAGCATACACAGCATGCTGTGATCCCATCACAGCTAAAAGCAGGTCCACAAGGCCAGAAGATGAGCATGTAGGAGGTATGTCATGAATATAGTAGCATCCATCCTAGGATGCTGGCCAAATTTTCCTAATGTAATTATCTGCACAATTCCTTACAGAGATTTTAATTGAAAAGGGTAGGTTTTGCTTCTCATCCCAAACGATCTCATGATGTTAAACAGCAGCTGCTTTTCATCTCAGAAGTTGTTGTATTGAACCTAGTTTAAATTCAGTAAAGCTCTGAGATCTCTGGGGAGAGATAAATGGTTTCATAGCTGTAAGTCATTTTAATGCAGGAGCCATAAACTGCAAAAGGGTAATTCCCAACACACATGTACTGCCAAAAAAATTAAACTCCATAAAAGAAGAACTTTAATAAAGTGCTTTCAGAGCAGTACCAAGACAGGAAAAGGAATAATACTACCAATCTCTGCTAAGTCCCTTAGAAAAAACAGAGGTTTATGCAACTCAGCTGTTCAGCTGCTGCAGGCTTACATACAACAAGTACAGGGTTGCTTTTTTTGTGCAAAACATCTGCTTATTCTGATTCTTTTTTTTTTTTTTTTTCCCTGTTGTAAACTCCTTCAATTTTACCAGTTTTCTTTCTCAAGTTTTACCTCAATGAGTTTATAGACTTAGTGCACGGACCATGTCAAAACTTACAGGACATATCTTGGCAAAATAAACTGAAATGTATGCTTAAAATTAGAAAAGCTCAGTTTAAGCCTTCAAAACATAGTTATAAAGAGAACAACAAATGGGGCCATAGCAGCATTCACAAGTGCAAGATTCAGATTAGCTATTGACAGCAACTTTTAAAGAAGGAAACAGGAAGAAACAGAAAGGAAACATATTGAAGGAGGCAGTATTAGCAATAAGGTTCTCTCTGACAGCAACTTGCTGTCTGCTTTCTAGTAGATCAGATGAGCAGTGAACAACTGTATATAAGACAGACCCATATCAACAGTTACTCAGCACCCAACTTTCAACAATTTGAGGTTAAAGAAGTAAAGCAGCACTTCAAAGAATGATATTTATTATCTTTTCAGGTAATTTGTTAATGTTTGTGCAGCATTACAGGTTATTCTATTATAACTCTTTTCTTCAGCAGATATAAAACCATATATTGTGACAGAAATAACAGAAACCCAGCATGCCAGTACTACAGATACAATTTGGCTTCAGCAAAAGCCTATAGTTATTAAAGGGAGCCAACAAAGTAAAAGGAAGATGTAAAATTTGCCATAAAATAGGTCATACCTCCTGGACCCATCTGCTTTGGTCCTCACTGCTGTCCAGGTATTTGCAGAGTTTTCGCAATGAAGTGGAAACATGTACTCGCGATTCTGTTTGGCTACTGTGACTCATAAGTGAAAGAACAAGTCCTACTCCCAAAATACATCCAGTGCTTAAAAAGAACACAAAAGAAAAAAGGATTAAGTATGCTTTGGCTGTTATGAACTCTCTTTTCACCCCAACATGGGTTGCTGAGCAAATGGGTCACTCAGTAAAAAGACCTTACGTGGTAACTAGCCCTGTGGATAATTACAGTCAGTTTTACAAATGGTTTTTATTTCACACATAGGTGATACTTTTCAGAAGACACAGGATGAAAGAAGAGCATAAGAAGGAAATGTGTGTTTAAAATAATAAATCCAACACATACAGCCTCGTTATTCCTTCTGCCCCTGAAGAACCAATACCCCTATTAACAAGCACGCCAACTAGGATGAAGGAAGTATGGATCCAAACTTCTACATCTGATTTAAACTGATATCCCAAACTCTGATACCCCAGTTAAACACACTAATTGCAGGTCCGCTGGCTGTACTAGGGTCTGAGGCTCTCAAACTCCTGCAAGAGCTGTTTCAGTTTGCAGAAATTACGAAATGAGTGATTAAGCCAGAGAACAGTTAAGATAGCTGCACAGATTAAGGTATTCATCTGCATTTCAGAACATGAGTGTCAGATATACATTCTAACCCACAGGCACTAAAATATCCATATGCAACAGTGGACCAGCTTCAACAGAGCAGCACAACTAACAGTTTGATGCTGAGGATACTTAAAATCGCAACAAGAAGAACATAGCTTCAAAGTACAAAATTTAATAGAGCAGCTGGCACAAATAGCTTCACGGTCTCTGTCTCTTTTCATATTTGACCAGAAATTCCTTTCTGGACCAGAGAACTCTTACTAAATTCAGCACCTGTGCTCCCACAACAAGTTTCAGTTTCCACACGTCATCAGTCATAATACTGAAAAGTTTTGTCGGAAAAGTCCCAAACAGTTCTGGTTGCCATCATGAGATACTAAAAGCACAGCAGATACTCAACTGCTCCGAAGGTGATCTCTCACTGGCACACGTACACAATAGCTTAAAGAAGCAGCTCTTACCTGAAGACTTTTTTCCCCCTCACACATCTCCCTGAGCATGACAACAACAGACACTGCCTGCAGCAAGCAGTCAAATGAATATGGCTAGGATCCAAGGCATTCTTCTAAGCTTCTACTTTCCAACTTAAAAATGGGAAGAGTTATAGCTTTTATTCAGCTAAGTAAAAAAGAAACTTCTGAGAATAACTTTGGTCATATTTATAAGCTTATGTTTTTCAGCAACTGGGGAAGAAGATGATGAGCATGGCCAGAAGACTTGGAGTGGTGTCTTGGTATTGGTGTCTTACTTTTCCAGCAAAGAAGAAGAAACAAACTTTGGGAATTTTTAACTAACTGGCACATCTGAATTCATGAACAGCCAACAAAATAAGGACATGGCTTATATGCAAGAGTTCTACATACAATTTCACACTATTGCTTGTTGAAAAAAATACACAGCAAGAAAACAAAGTTCCTAATTAGAGCTACAATTTCTTATGTTGTTGACTCTAAGTATAAGACCCAAAACATAAGCGGAGACTGAAGGAAAAAGTAAAACTTCATCCCCTCTGCTCCCCTTTGCGTAACTAGCAAGTATTTTCACTTGGCCTCCTTGTCTGTGATCTACATGAAATTCATATTTAAGTGCACTTCAACCACATGACATCTCAGATTTCCCAGCACCTTTTATGTGTTTTAGTGCCTCAGACATACTGTGCTACTGTCTTGACTCATCTTTGACTCTACTGTCATCTGTCTCAATAACGCAACTTCGCAGCATACAGGGCAGTAGAGTCCCTCGCATCACAGAATGAAGGACTTCATGAACAAACCATGAAACAAAATAAAAGGTTTGTGTTTTAGGATGAAGGAATACTGATATTTTTCTGAGAATCCTGATGCCAGTGGAGCTTGACAGGTTTCTGTAAGAACAACATAAAAGTATGATAGTTTTGACTGAAAATGCCTTAAAGCCTAATCAAACAGCTCCATAAAAAGTAAGTTGTTTAATGCTCCACACAGCAATTTAAAGGAAGGCTACTGTGTATTTCGAGTTTCATAACAATTTGCTCTTCACCACATCTTTACTCAGTATGTACCAGAGTTTATAATTTACTTAATATTTCTCCAATATTTATCCTTGCAGATGCAAGCTAGTTCTGCCATGCAATAACTTTATACAAAAAGGTGTATTTGCAAAGGGCTTGGAGAATTCATCCTCGATATGGGCAATGTAACAAGGCAAGCCAGAAAACTTTGCTGCCCCTTGGTATTTACCAAAAATTTTTACATGCAAACCTTTCAAAAGGTCAGAGTTATCTCAACCTTCAACGCACGTTTTTCTTTGTTTGCAGCAAGGCTAGGGTGGGAGGGGGAGTAAACCCGTCCAATACAGGGACTGTATGTACTGCTATGTTTGTTACCCATATGCTGTACCGTTACAACTAGAACTCTGCCTTTGATATATTTTTTTAATTATTTATTCCCCTGTCCACCCAGTACACTGAGGTTGATCTGACAAAAAGCTACTGAATGTAAACTACATGAATAACTGTAGAAGTTAACAGTCATGAATGTACATGCTTGCTGAACCTATTCTCTATGTAGGTTAGGCTTGGGAGAAAAAATAAGTTTCTGTAAGCAGTAAGTCTGACAAAACCTACTAGCACACAGAACTGTCTAAATCACCTGTCATGGACATTTTCCATACATGTGTATACTGAAAATTGGTTTATCGGTATATTTAAAAAACATATTTACTCCAGTTTCTGTCTAACCCAAGGGCAGATTTAAGGTCCGCTCCCAGTCTTCTTGATAACATCTGAGTGCACTCCATATGAGATCAGGAACAAAAAGCTCCTAAGGCTCTGCAAACTATGAAACTCTCTTCCTGTCAGAAAATGAAGAAGTATCATATTAACACGCTTAACCATCTGAAATGTTTTTCCCCCTTTAAAAGATTATAACTTTCTTTTCTTTTTTTTCCTCTGTGTGGTCATGACAGATAAAAGCATACTGATTTATGAGCGTTATTCTCACAGTGACTTTTTCTGAGAGGAAATTAAGTTTAGACTGTCTTATGCAACTTATACAGACACAGAGGTTCTTATGGAACATAAGTGGACTCTCACCAGGCTAAAACACTGGCTCAGGGAAAGATTCTCATTGCTTATTGAAAACAACTGTTTTCTTCATTCATTCCTCTTACCTTTTCTTCCCTCTGCCTCTTGATTTTAAAAAGAGAATTTTCCTAACTAAATGAAGAAAATGATACACAAACCCAACATTGCTATCAAGGCTGACATGATCAGTGAAGCGTGGCTGTGCGAGCTCCAGTTTGCACAGCACACGCATTGATAAACGACTTTCTTACCTAGACACTTGAGGCAGAAAAGCCAAACAAAACAAAAATTCAGCAAAAGCCTCTTTCTCAATAACATCCTTCAGCATTTGTGATGTCCCACTCAGCACCCCGGAGAAGCGTGTTACGGAGCAGAGAGGCACTTTCTGAAACAAGCACCAGGCATGCCACGTCCGGGTGGCAAGGTGCAGGGGGGTGGTGGGGGCCAGCGGCAAGCAGTGCGGCCCGTGCCCTGGGGAGGCAACAGGCGGGTACCAGGCAGGTACTGGGAGCCCTCCCAGTCGTATGTAACCTCCGAGCAGCTGCAGGAGAGGATAGGATTACTGCTGGCATTAAGAAAAAGGGGAACTCCATCCTCCCACATACATATATTATGTACTGCATAATATACCCAGCCTCAAAAAAACCTTGCAACCTATTGTAACAGAAAAAGAGAAATGCCAGTGAAGCAGGAGTGAAACACTGATGAAAAGGTCTCCCAGTCAGCTGCGCCTATCATACTGGATGAAAAGGCTGGAAAGGCCCTTGCTTTGGAAGAGCAGTTTAAAAGTGGACGAACAACAAACTTGGACACATCTGCAACATTTGCCGCTTTATGCTACTTCTTTGCTCACAAAGCGTGCTCACACTAGACACTGGCTTACCATTAACCTTTAAAAAACATGAAAAAAAACTACCCAACCTTCAATCTTCCCTCTCCTGCTTGCTGTTGCTTCATATTCTTCTGGCAACCTCTTGCTGCCAGAAACGTCTAGTTTGGCTTTTCTGTGAGGTATTTACCTCCAGCAAACAGGCTGCACAAACAAGCAGCAAGTGATGCAGCTGACACAGCCCCTTGTGCACCACGTGTCTCACCCTGTGCCACACAAGAAGCAACCCAAATCCTGGCTACACTATACAGCTTCACAGCCCAGTGGTGTGCAACTGTCATCCCTCACAGCTTTTCAGAAGGTCCATGGGAGAAGGAAAGCGCAAAGTTAAACAGGAGTTACTGCTCAGTTTCCTTTAAGCAGGGAAGAGCTGGGCCCAAAAACGTTTAAAATCAACTAAGACCTCATGCAATCACACTGAGGCATTAAAGATACTGCAGCTCCTGTGATTTAAAAGGGAAATGACGGCTGGGCAAGATATACACCACATTATGTTAGTTGTTTAATGGCAACTGACACTGTGTTTTACTGTTCAATTATTCCAGGTTTGCCAACGTCAGTAATTGTGCAATATCTTTCAATAATTTCTTGCCCTGCCTGTGGGCTGCTCCTCTCTTTGGGACACCTGATGCATAACCTCAGTTGGTTAAATGAAATGTATTTGCTTTACTCAGTATCCAACATGCCATCACGGCTGCTAATTTAACAGACTGGCTCTCCCAGATAAATAAGCCATGTGAGGAGCTCCCAGAGCTCACACTGTGTTGTACACACATGCACATGGCAGTAACAGACTCCAATGCAGAGGCAGCTGGACTTCATTGAACACCTTGGCACTCACCCAAGAGCACCAAGGAAGGACTTGATTTCATTAATGAACATCTTTCATTAAGGAACATGTGCAGATAAGATGAGCAACCGGCTCCTAGAATTGCTGGGATGTTCCCACTGCCTGTGAGCAAGACTGTTTTGTTCTCTACACTTGGCCAAAGCTTCTACTTGTGAGTTGGCAGCGATTAGGAGTGGTTGTCATTGCTTCTTGTCACTCCGTACGAGGGACTGTATGGAAAAAAATGTGTTACATACGCACATATGCATAACTCACATATGTTCAAATATAAAGTATTTTTTTAATATATATATGTGCAGATCCTCCTTGAAACTACGCTAACGCACATGGTAAAAAAGGAAGTGATTGGAGACAGCCAATGAGGCTTCACTAGGCACAAATCGTGCCTGAAAAACCTGGTGGCCTTCTATGATGGAGTTACAGCATCACGGATAAGGGGCAAGCAACTCACATCATCTACCTGGACTTGACCAAAGCATTTGATGCTGTCTCGCACAACATCTGTGTCTCTAAATTGGAGAGACATGGATTTGATGGATGGAACACTCGGTGGATAAGGAATTGGCTGGATGGTCACATTCCAAGAGCTGCAGTCAACAGCTTAATGTCCAAGTGGAGAGCAGTGATGAGTGGTGATCCTCAGGGGTTGGTACTGGGGCTGGTGCTGTTAGTGCCTTTGTTGGGGACATGAACAGTGGCATTAAGTGCATTCTCAGCAAGTTCCTGATGACACCAAGATGGGTGGTGTGGTGGACATGCTGGAGGGAAGAGTGCCTTTGTTGGGGACATGAACAGTGGCATTAAGTGCATTCTCAGCAAGTTCCTGATGACACCAAGATGGGTGGTGTGGTGGACATGCTGGAGGGAAGGGATGTCATCCAGAGGGACCCTGACAGGCTGGAGAGGTGGGCCTGTGAGAACCTCATGAAGTTCAACAAGGCCAAGTGCAAGGTCCTGCACGCGGGTCGGGGCAATCCCAAGCACAAGTACAGGCTGGAGGGAGAATGGATTGAGAGCAGCCCTGAGGAGAAGGACTTGGGGCTGTTGACTCATGAGAAGCTCAACATGAGCTGGCAATGTGCGCTGGCAGCCCAGAAAGCCAACTGTATCCTGGGCTGTATCAAAAGAAGCGGCCAGCAGGTCGAGGGAAGGGATTCTGTGCCTCCACTCTGTTCTCATGCAACCCCACCTGGAGTACTGTGTTCAGCTTTGGGGCCTTCAACATAAGAAGGACATGGAGCTGCTGGAGTGAGTCCAGAGGAGGGCCATGACAATGATCCGAGGGCTGAAGCACTTCTCCTATGAAGACAGGCTGAGAGAGTTGGGGTTGCTCAGCCTGGAGAAGAGAAGGCTCGAGGAAGATCTTACAGGAGTCATCCAGCACCTAAAGGGGGCCTACAAGAAAGCTAGAGAGTTACTTTTTGCAAGGGTATGTAATGATAGGACAAGGGGCAATGGCTTTAAACTGAAAGAGGGCAGATTTAGATTGGATATAAGGAAGACATTTTTCACTCTGAGGGTGTTGAAGCACTGGAACAGGTTGCTCAGAGAAGTTGTGGATGCCCCATCCCTGGAGATGTTCAAGGCCAGGTTGGATGAGGCTTTGACCAACGTGATCTAGGGGAAGGTTTCCTGGCCCATGGCAGGGGGGTTGGAACTACATGATCTTTAAGGTCCCTTCCAACCCAAACCATTCTATGATTCTATATTCTATGATTCTATATTCTATGATATATTTACTTATGGACACACTTACTTGGAAGAGATGGTACACAGAGGAATAAACCAGCAGGAACATCCTGAAATTCAACAGGAACCAACTCACAGTCCTGCACATGGCAACAGTGAGGCTGGGACCAGAGAAGCTAGGCACAAGCTCTTGGGTACATTCTTGGGCATCAGCGGGCAGCAAGTTGAGCCAGCATCAGACATGCACCAAGGCAGTGATGAGGGCCAGCAATGCACAGGCAGCATGAGAAGGACACAGGAATGACAGCCCGGGGAAGGATCACCCCTCTACTCTGTGCTCACCACACCTGGAATACTGCTCTGAATGCAAGTAACCCACCAACAAAACCATAACAAGTTCCTGGGAGGCTACCAAGGCAGTGAGCCCTTCCCCTAAGAGCAGAGGCTGTGAGACTGCAGCTGGTTCATTCGTGAGAAGGGATGGCTTTGGGGGCACCCAACAGCTTCTATAGCACTGACAGGAAAGGACAGAGGAGATGTAGCTGGGATTTTGCATGGTGGGAGGCTGAGGCAGCAGGCCTCACAGCTAAAACATCAGATATTTGCACAAAGGACAGCACAAAAGGGAAGCCAGGGCCCAGAGATGTTGTGCTGTCTCCAGTCCTAAGGGTTTCAAACCCTGACTGTGATGCCTTAGGCAAGGCAGTCCAAGTCCATGTCTGAGTCTGTTCTGAGGAGGGATGTTGACCTGCGACAGTCCTTGCCAGTCTGCACGAGTTGGTGATTCTATGAAAGTACTCAGAATATACTATCTCCTTATCTTATTCTTACACTCTTCTGCGTAGAATTAAGGAATAAAAGCATGAATTAAAAAGGAGGAGCTCAAAATAAAACAAAATATCATCAGTAATAAAGGAAACTCACTTGTACTCCAGACTAGTGTCAAAGCAGCAGTCTTCCAGTGCATCTAGGGACTTCATGAGAACGAAGTTCATCTGTTGACCAGGTACATCACTAAAAAAACAAAACAAAACTGAAACAAGAAAAATCTAACACACAGCTCTGCTCTTTAAATCATATAGGATACTAAACCTCCTGCTAAGACTGAATGTACCAGTAAATAGAGTTCTTCTCTTGCTATAACAGGCTCTCATACTAGTCTGTAAGCAACAACTATATGATTGGTCATTTGTGTCACATTCATATAAACGTACTAGTACACAAATAATAAAAACACATTCAGACCTTAACTGGCAACCATTTTTGCTACAACACCCAGAAAGCAACCCAGCACCCAGGATTTGTAAAACATGCTTGATGGTGGGAGAAAGATACCGATATAACATTACCTCAGCTAGATCTGTAACTATTTATAAGCTGAAAATTCATGATCTTTTAAGTTATTAGCTCCGTAAATGTCTCTTCTCCATGTCTTTGCCTAACTTCTTGACAAAAAAGGAAGCATTTACCTCTCACTCCAAAGATGTCACAGGGACTCCCTTCTCACAAAACATGTACATAGTTTTCTTAATGAACAGGACATTTTAACACAAACTAACTCTCTGTTTAATTTTAGTCCTACCCAGGTCTAAACAACAGCCAGTTGCCCTATTAATTACCAAGTGACCCCTCCCCATTCGAGGAGAGGAACTGGGAAAGGGAAGGAAGACCCATGGGTTGAGATGGGAACTATTGAATAACTGAAATAAAATAAAATGAAATAAAATACTGATAACAACAATAATAATATATACAGACAAAGGATGTACAGTGCAACTGCTCGCCACCCCTTGATCAATGTCCAGCCTGTTCCCAGCTAGTGATCCTGGAGAAAGCCCTGAAACATCAATCCTAGCAAAGAGTAAGCAAGCCTCCGGAGCAGAATGATGCGTGAGACCCTCCAGGAATGGCAACCATTGAGAAAGATAGGCCATTCCCAGCAAACTTTCCAATTTATGGTGAGCATGATGTTACATGGAATACTCATTTGCCAATTTATGTGTCAATCGCCCTGGCCATGCTCCTCCAGGTTCTTGAACATCTGGTATGGTTAGTAAAAACAAGTTGAAAAGTCCTTGATCACTATGGACACCTGCATACCACAGCTGGCTACAAACTGAAACAAAGTGTATTACCAGCATTGTTCTCCCTGAATCTGGTGCTGCAGTCTTCTTAAACACACAGCTTACTTTAGAAACGTAGCTCTTCTGAACAGGAAATTGATTCTGTGATTCTATTCCAGCGAAATCAGCATATTCTATGATTTGATATTACCTATAGCTACATCCCTACAAGTTTTACTGTTGTTGCAAGTCAACGCTTGGAAGAATGTGTGAGATTAAGCTTCGAAATTATGCAGGGCAGTGAAGAGTAAAAACTGATATTGTCCATAAAAAAATTTTAGATAAACTTATTAATTTCAACACCCCTCGCCAATCAAACAAAACCCAAAATAAAGATTCACACACTCCAAAATATCAAGCTGATCTAACGTCATTCTCTTTAAGAGCCTTTTAATGCTTGTGTGTAGCTCAGTTGTCATCACTGACCAATAATCTAGAGACAGTCCATCCTCAAATCACGTGGCCAAGTCTGAGGCAGCAAGGCATCAAGACACCAAAGCACGAAGATCAGAAGAGCAAAGCTGCAGCAGTGTTTTAACAAAGGCAGGTGTGTCAAACATGAGCTTCACTGAGCAAATTAACAACTGACAGTCAAATCTGTTTCATACCTGTGCTTGTGCACCAATTAAGACATTTATCATTAGAACACAGGCAGACAGAATCCCTAGAAGTCAAGAAGCTGGAGGAATATAGAGCCAAACATACTTCTTAGTTTCTGTGGAATCATTGGAAATTTGCAACTGAGGCCAACCCTTCTGTAAAGGAGGCATTTTCGACCAACTTCAGAACACCTCTGCTGCCAAGACAGCTGTAATAGCACACCTTAAAGACAGCCCACTAACTACTTCTGTTGTAGCTCCATCTCCACACGTGTAAGTCACATGAAGCGGACGCTATCCAGTCTCCAGACTACCACTTAGAAAGAAACCGATGAGAACTATGAATTATTTCACAATTAAGTCTCCTGGGGCAGCTAGTTCCCTTTAAAAGCATATGTGTGACTCTCCTAGCTGACTGCTTTGCAAATGCACCTTAGGATATTACGAAAATTAATCATCCATCTGAAAGAATGGCAAAATATCCAGGATAGCACTGGGGTGTGGGTGGTGAGGACTAATAATAAAGGACACCTTATAAGAAACGTTGCAAAGCCCCCTGAGAATCATTTGCCAGTGACTTGTAAACACTCAAATTCCTCAGAACTTAAGGCCACATGCAGGAAAAAGGAGGAAGCTATTTGCACAACCACATTACATATGGTGTAATCCTTACCTGACTTTTTCTTCATACAAACGTGAGATAAACATCCCCAAACCAAGGCCCATGTGGATTTGAACAGCTTGAGACTCATCAGCATTTGGTTTCCCAGGTAACCTCTCAGTCAGCATATTCAGGACCTCCTCAACCTTCTCCTTGCATGATACAATGAAAACTGGCACCAGGAGTGACAAAGCAGTGGCTGCACAGGAACGAGCTATAATACTAGCAGTATTTTCACCTGAATAGGATTTCTAGAAAAACATAAAGAATTTTTTTAAATTTTCCTCTCGGGGGAGGGAAATTAAACTCCTTTCCTGGTAGTAACACTCAGCACTTTAGGAATTTAAAATAAATACCTATACAGTAAAATGCAGCAAAGATGTATTGCAAGCCGGCAATAAACAGTATTTCATGAAACTACCTATGGTAACTTTTCCATTTGTCTTACATTGTAAGCACCTTAAAACTAGGATAATTCAGAATATAATTTCTAAGTGTAAATAAGACTGTTAAGTATGAAACTGTAAAAAAAGGAAAAGACAGGAGGCAACTAGAATTTAACAGCTAGTCTGCACATAAATGCATTGGTCTATTCTAGCTTTCACCTTCCTTGTTAAAATATCGAGCAGCATGATCAGAAGGGCAAACAGAAACCAGCAGTGATGTTAACATACTTCGGTAATTACAACACACCAAGGATTTAGTGAGTTGGAAAAAGCACTACCTTAAAATCATCACACTTAGGATGACAAAATATCATGAGATCTTGCAAGATAATAACCAGCATTCTAGAAGAAAGATCCCTTACAAAGGTTTCTTATTCCTTTCCATTTTGAAAGTAAAATCCATACAGCTATCTCTACTTATAAAGCAATGGACGGATTATAAGCAATGGCCTAATGTATATTTATCAACTTCCACATGCAACTCTGAAAATGAAAAGAAAAAAAGTCCTATCAGCATTCGAGGCATTCTGCAAGCCAGTGATTTCTATTATGTGCCTTACGATTTTACAAGCATAAGATTTAATCATTTATTAAAAAAAAACCAAACAAAAACCCACAAAAACCCCCAGAATTTAGAAATGAAATTTTGTCACAGAACAATTCGGCAAAAACTACTAGTGCCAAACAAGTAGCTGAAATCTCCTTACATCCAACTGGTCTAGCATTTATTTCACTACAATTTGACAGTCAAGAGTTAGCAATACCTACTCCTTCAGGTCTATACTGAGTTTTTGGTCACACCTCCAGGTCTTACTGCAGAACTGCCTGCTGCTTATGTGGCCATACGATATGAGCCTATGGATTGAAGAGGTGCTGTAAAATAAGAATCACTGGCTCCATAACTATTAGATTTTGAGAAAGTATGCATTTCAGAGCCCTAAGGAATGGTGTCAGAATCACTCAAGAGTTTGATAGTGTGGTCTGAGGAGTCTGTTGATGTTAGGTGGTTTTATTTTGTACAAACATGCTGAATATTCTAGGTTTTGAAGGGGCTTTTTTTAAGTCTCCTTCATTCACGTATCCTCACATGTGGATTTTACTATTTTGGTAATAAAGACAAAAAATCAATGCAAACCCAAATATAAGCAGAAAACACAATGAAAGAAAAAGATAAAAGCAAGAAAAGTTTTTATTCTCCTGTATTAAAACTACCACATGGCAAACAGAACCAGGAAGCTCCACACTAGAACTCCAGATATACAGATATATTCACTTGCCTTTAACATCACAACACATACCTGGTAGAACCATGGGAAGACTTGACCTTTAGGGTGATAGCGGCTATTCACAATACTAAAGAGAGTCTCTGTGACCATAGAAATCCAGTGTTTTGTGGGAAGAAAATCAGGTTCAGTCTGCAAAAATCCAACCCAAATACTCATAGTTATTTTTTTTTTTTTAAATCGGGTCCTACCTGAACAGAAGCTCAGCAGCTGATGTTCCAGCTATGATCCACCAGAAATGAGATTACTCTGTCATTCTTATGTACAGTAAGTAGCACGATTTACTTGTCAGTGCTGACCCTTCATAGAATCATGGAACGGTTTGGGTTGGAGGGACCCCAATGATAACCCAGTTCCAACCCCTCTGCCATGGGCAGGGACACCCTCCACTACATCTGGTTGCTCAAAGCCTCATCCAACCTGGCCTTGAACACTTCCAGGGATGGGGCAGCCACGACTTCTCTGGGCAACCTGATCCAGTGCCTCACCACCCTCAGAATGAAAAATTTTTTTCTTATATCAGACTACTTTTTATGGAGTAGTACTCAGTGAAAGTAAAAGTGATGAGAAAAGAGGCTGGCTGGGTTTCAGTGTCCACTAGACCTCTATCTCCCCTGTCAAAACCAACAAACAAATGTGTAGTCATTGTGTGTCTTGTGAGAAGGCGCCTACACACTCTGACTGCTTTTGAACAGTAATTGCACAGCAGCTACCAGACGGCATTCACTGAGCAGGGTGAAATTTTCACTTCAAAATGTGAAGTACTTCACATCCACTTACCAGCACAACAAACACCTGGTCATGCTGCTTCGTTATATTCCACTCAGAGTAGAGAACCTCTTTCCCAGATTGACTCACCTCAGGCATCCTTTCAGTGTCTGAAGAAAGGCTGCTTTCGTATTTGGCTACAGCAACTGCAAGACCAGTTAAGGCAAAAATAGAGTTTCCTTTCACCACTGGGCTGTCTCTAGACAGAAGAAGGCAAACAGTTAAAAGAGATAATAATAGAGATGCAGGCAACAAACACGTCTCTCAACGTAGGAAACTCATGCTACCGGTGGTCCAGGAGGGAAGGTCTTTGCACCTAGCAACTTTATTGGGCTGTCTTCTAGCTCAGCAAAAGTCTATCGCATTTCATCTTCAGGAATTAGAGAAAGAATGGAAAAGAGAACTGTTTCAGTCTTTTTGCTTGTTTCTTATATAAAGTCTAGCACACACAAAGTTGTACAAAACCAGAAGCTTGCTTCCACTATAATGAGGACAGTCACCTTGCAGAGCAAGCAGCACTGACAGAAACGCACCAGTTGGTCTTAGCTAATCTCTACGCAGGACAACTTGAAATGCTCTTCAAACAGAGAATGCTAGACAGGCAGGTGTCACTTCACTGCAACAGCATGTGTTCAGGAGATTTAGCAGAGCAGCCATCACTGAAATCTCAGCTTAAAAAAAAACATTCTGAATTACTTCTCTATGCTGTGAAAACATTAAAATCATGGAAAATGACACGTCTCCGAGTACTAACTTCTCCCACAGTGCAAACCTTTACTTTTAAGGAACTCAAGAAAAAAAATCTGCCACCTACAAATTAGAGAGAATGCAACTGTGTTCTGTTTCATGAGAAGATCCTGGTCATTCTCACAAAAACATTTTGCAATATAATTCTGCTAGAACTCCTAGTTCTTTTACAAAAGCAGCTGAACAATACGACTGCACTAGACCACTTACAGTCTTACATCACACCAGTACAGTGTACTACACTTTTTGCATCAGTACTTTGCTTCTAAAAACTTCCTCAACTGCTGCTGTAAAAATACACCTACAAATTCAGGCATTTGTTCCAGATCCAAAGATCTCATTTTCACAATAAAAATGTTTTCTGAGTTTCTGGTTTGCTTTTTAAAATAAGACACATAGGTCTTGGTGGAACATCATTAACCTCTCCTGTTTGGAACTCTGAAACTACTTCCTTTCAGATAACAGATACCTACAAGTAATTACAACTAGGTTCTTAGTTAACTTCTTTGAAATCTCCCTGTACCTTTTAAATAATTTCTTAATCTATGTATGGAACCTTTGTTGTTGATCATCAACTTCTGAAAGGTTACATTTCATGATGTACCTCACAGAGAAGCTTCTACATCTAAACACTCAAGAAAGCTGGATGCTTGAAAGGTAACGAAGGTAAAAAATCATCATCCTAACAAGCTCCGGGAGGAAAAAGAGCAGTGTCTTACTCTCTATTGAAAATATGGGGGGAAAAAGCCTCTATTTTCTTAAAAGAAAGTCACTAAACACAGTAAGTTCTAAAGACGTGATCTATGCACAGGAAATAACTTCTGCTGTTACCTAAAGAAAATTCAAACTCCCTCCCAAATTAGGCAATGCTTCTACCTAAACTAGTTTTGCTAATGAACTTCTATAACTAAAATAACAACTTTAATTCTGAGACACAGATTATGATATATTTAAAGTTTATTATATTGTTCCTCCTTTATTTATCTCTTTCTACTACCTTATCTTACCATAAGTATTTACTGAGTAGCTAAAACACCAAACAAATCTTCCAACTTCACCCCTTCTAACTAAGCCTTCAAGATGGACCAACATACAAGGAAATGAACAGCTGGGAATATTTTCAATATCTGAACAATGATAAGCTAAAAAAGGAAAAAATTCAAACTTTTATGGGAAGTCTTAATTAAAATCTCCAGAACTCTCAACTTGCAGAAGTACTTCAAATTAGTCTTTTATACAAGAATACCAATGTTGAAATGGTGTGTGAGATTTCACTGTAATTCTTTCACTGATGACATCTTTACAATTTAAGATTTTCTAAGTACTTGCTCTTACCAGGATTCACTGTTTCTGACACTTTATCTTGACCTGCTGTAAGTGGCAAATTTCATGTTAAGCAAAGCATAATATGAAGGTAGCTGCCAGCGGAGAGTGAAAAGGAAGAAGCCAAAACACTTTGGCAGCCTATGAAGGAAGGTTGAGACACTTACTGCTGTCTAAAAGCCACGTGCTAATTCTAATAATCTGAAAACATGTAATATCCTGCCTTCGGGGGCACAAGAAACATACCTTAATAGAAAGTGGGATAGTTTTGAAGAGCCCATACTCTGCTAAAGACCAGCCAACTTCTAGATAAATGAAGCTGCTTGAGGCAAACAGTCTGCTAGCTAAAAAAAGAACAGACTAATAGTGCAAATAGCACTATTCAGACTTTACTCAAAACATTAGACATCAGCCTTTCTAATAGACAAGAGACAGTGTTAAAAATCCCAAACAACAAGGCGGGGAAGAGTTCCTTTCCTGAACAGCAGTCATGTGAAATCATGAAACTGGCAAATAACCAACTGCAGAAAGTATTATCTTAGATCTCTGTCACAAAAGAGAACTCATTCTCCCCTGTAATAAGTTAGAAGCTCTTACTTGGAAGCACCTTTGATGACATCTGTCAACATATCTCTGACCCTGCAACAGAAACAGAAAGAATTTACACCACGTCCATTATACTATAGCATGAACTCAGGTAATTTCCCTTTATGCCTGACATGCATCCATTTTAGGTAAACAATTATCTCACCTAGCTATCAGAAGACTTAGTGCAAATTAATCACAAGCATTAAAACTGTGGAAGTGCTTACGTATGTTTCTTCATGCTCTTGTGCACTACTGATGTTTATTATAAAGGGCTCCTACTTGACTTTGCCACTTTGAGCTGTTAAACACAAGTGTCCAGATCACTGTGCTACGTCTTAGCGTAATAAAATGAGAATGTTTTACAATGGACAACCATAACAATGTATCCAACATTTACTGTACTCTTGGAAGCTGCTGTGGACAGTTACGCTGTTAGTTGGTATAGCAATCTGAATCCATTTAAGTGAAAGCCACAGGAGTAGTTTTTTTACACATTACTGTAGTTGATTTACAACAGGCTAGCACTTGTCTGCATTTGTTAAGTTTTGCATTCACATCAAGACAGAAGCAGACATGCCAGTGAATCTTCTATACTGCCAGGTCTGGGTGAGGAAAGACATCATCTATATACTACAACACGTAATACCATCGTGGCCACGACTGTCATTCTACAGAAAAAGATATGCTCCAATCACAGTTTCACAACACATGATTAGAAGATAAAGAATGCATGTGCTGTAAAACAGGGACATATGTTATCAGACTGAGTTATACTCAGGCTTTAAAAGAGACCTACTCAGGCTTTCCTTCATAACTACACCGTTTTTGCACACAGTTTCAAAATCACCCACACTATAAACACTGACACCAACCCAGCAAATACCAATGCAACACTGCACAGTATACTGTAAAGCGTTAACACTAAAGTTTATCTCGAGCTGTTCACAATCAAGTTAAACCCGGTGGACAACACAAACACTCAATGGGCACTGAAGTTAAGAGCCCTGAGCACCAGGCAATTAGGTAGGAACAGGAAAAGACATGAAAGCTAACACTGGGCTCACAGTTCACGTACTGCTTTGATTTCCCTACTGTTAAAGGGAATTCTGTTCATTTTTGACATAGCTTACATTAACTCTATTTAGGAAATACAGAGTAGAAATCAGTTCAGGAGAAATCTACAAAAGCAGCATTGCTACAGGCATTCTTCTCACCAGGAAATGTTTTCTCTTTGTACCCTATCAAGAAAGGGATCAGGTAGAGCAACAACAGAAAATTGTGCTGCTACTACCTAAAGAAGGTCTTCTACAATATCATATCATTGTGGATCTTACTATGAAAGCCTCTAATGTAGACTTACCCGGAATAAAACAACAGACACAAATTTTGTATTCCTGTTGAGTGGGATTAGTAACACCTTTTGACTGAAATGGGCAAACGGCACCTTGGTTTTGTTTGTACATTCTTTGTTCCCAAGGCACTTATGAACAAGCACAGAAACAGGTATTTATACTGTCCATGGATATGTAGTTCTTTCTCAATCTGAAGTCTCCCACTTCCCACCTTGTCCCCCTGGCCATATACATACATGTCTAAATCCTGATGAGACACACTCCTCAGCTGACTGAAACAGAAGTAGTTGAGGACATGGATGAGGATGTGCATCACGTTCTTGGCTTTAAATAACATCCTCAGCCTCAACATTGCCAACTTAACACACAAACTGAGGTGTGCCTCAGTTCACTATGACACACATAATAACATGGCTTACATGTCTTTTATCAAGCTATTTTCAGTGAGACAGCTCACTTAATCTCTACAAGTAAGTTTTGCTCTTTGTATAATCCTTCTGCTTTAACATAACACAAAACAAATACAGTTTTCCATTCCTTCCAGTTGCTCAGCCTACAAAGTTTCAGACACTGTAGAGGGGAAGGTACCTGTGAATCCATGCATATGGGAATCTTTACAGACAGTTACATAATAGTTTATTTCTTTCTGCTCTGACCCTAGCTTTGGTCAATGTATCTGCTGTTGGTTTTTTGTTTGGTTGTTTTTGTTTGGTGGTGGGTTTTTTTTTTAGTGCTCATATTTAAACTTGTAAAACTAAAGGCTTTGAAGTCTTGCCTTCCTCTGACCCCTCACTTGCCATGACAAGTGATCAGGAGCAGAGAGGCACTTCCTTACCAGAGCCAGGCTGTAAATTGTTTGTACTGCACCTCTTCAGGATCCTCTTTTCCATGTTTTAACTGCATCTCCAGCTCTGCCTGCCTCCCCTGCAGAATTACAGAATAAGTCAGAAGTGGATCTCACATGGACGATCATCAAATATTTCTTCAGAGAACACTTAGGTAATGGAAGTAGCCTTTCACTTGAGGCTTTTCATAAGGGATTCCACTGTAGTACACAATATATTAAGTAAAAGGATTTGTAATATTTTATTCTGAGTGAGGAAAACAAGCTGCAGAGGCACAAATGCCCAGATACACTGAGACATCTCATCTAGTCCATGCAAAAAGACAAGTTCCCTTAGGAAGGGGTAGAAGCCTGGTAGCTAAAATGCATTCTAACAGCAAAATGTTAAGTCTCTTGTTTCACCACTTAAAGCAGAATTCCTCATCTTTTTCCTTTCTATGACTCCAACCTCCCTGTGACCTCCTACAACAGCTCTTTCTGTACCTTAAAGGAGATGATATGGATTCTGGCCTTTAACAATTGTTATCTAAACATATTAAACAGCTTTGCTTTACTGTTCAGTCTCCAACCATGAGACAACTGCATCTCAACTTTATGTTGTCAGTTACACTCCTCAGTAGGTTATTAAGTCTTAAGTGAATAATATAGGCACACAAGCCGTGGTTTTCAGGTATTGAATGCTTGTAGTTTGGGTGTACATAAAAACCTGAGAATACAAGACAGTCAATCCTGTAAATCCAGATGTCACTCAAGAGATGACTCTCTACAGAGACTGAAGGAGCACATACAACACACTGACTAAAGAGAAGGCTGCATAAAAACTATGCAAAAGCCTATTGCAATTTCCCAAAACACAGAAACATTGGCTTAAGTTCTGTACTAAATCAAGACCTACAGGATCATCATGATGAGGTTGATTTCAGCCTCAAAAACATGCAGAATCCACAAACTGGCAGAAGTGCTTAAGCATGTGAGTAGGCATAATAAAACGCAAGAGGACTTTCAACTGTCCAAACAGAAAAAAATCCTCAAGCAAGTGTTTTGGTGAACTGGACTCTGAACATCTGCCTTCAAACTGTACCCTACTAGCTGTTCAGAAATACTGAATTATGTACTATTGAAACTACTCATCTTATACTGTTATCTCTTTTGGCTATCTCAGATGAAATGCGATATAGAAGGATACGGAGTAGATAAAGATAACAGGCCTCCAGTGAGGGACTTCAGAAATAACAAAAAATAGGCTCCATTGCCCTGTAAAATGGCATGAAATCCTAGAGAGACTTTCAGAAACAAGTCTGGTAAATGCAAAGCTTCTTGTAAAATCTTGCCTCAGAGGAGAGGCAAAATAGGAAAGTAATTAAATGTAAGCAACAACGGCTCCCTCTGTAGTGACAACCTGAAATTACAATTAGAATAGCTGCTGCCTGCTTTGTAACAGGGCTGGCTCGGCTTAGAATCTGATCTTTTGCCGATGGGCAAGATAAAATTTGGTTTGAAAATGTCAGAGAAGCATATGTTTTGCTGCATAATAAAAAACAAGGGACAGTCAAAGCTTCTAGAATTTGCTCAGCAACCTGAGCTGCTCACACCGAAAACAGCTGATGGAGCCTCGAAATAAAAACACATAAGCCCTTCTAGTAGCACAGAAGCCTTCTAGAAGGCAGCTATTTGTTAAAAGTTTTTTAGATCATTTTCCTGTTGAAAAACCAAATGACACTACATTGCTCTAGATACCAGGTCAGCTAACCCAACAGAAGAGAGGTTTTAAGATACTTCCCAATGATTAGATGGAGCAGAAAAATCAAGAGTCCCTAACAGCCCGAAAGCATTACACGCTGGTTAAGGGAAGTCCTATTTAATGAATTGTTCCTTGATAGCTTGTCTCCTTTGTGATACTATTATTACAAAATTCCTACCCAAAATAATAGGTTAGAGCTCCAGCTAAAATTTCACAGTCTAAAAATTCTAAGAACTGACACATTCTGCAACTTGACACAGGAGCAAGACTGCAAGAACCTGAACTGTAAGCAGAAGTTATACTTCTACAAAGTATCCCAGATTGTGGTGCCATTAACTGAAGACTCATTTTTATTTCCTTTTCGTAAATTTTATTTTTAAACATGTCAAGCTTTATTTTTAAATTATTGTAATTTGCATGGATGCTCTTGTGGGTAAAAATAAAACTCATACCACTTGAATGAGCATTAATGTACACAATATTGATATGGAAAATAACAGTCGGGCATTGCAACACAGCAAATAGTTTAGCAAAATACTGAAGCTCAAGCAAGAATAAGAATACTATACAAAAGTAGCCATCTAAAGCCATAAACGTAACAGGAACTGTTACCGGAACCCTATTGTCTGTGAGTAACGACCTTAGAAGGAGCAGATAAGATAATGGGAACTGTTAACGACCATTCTATGATCCGGTGATGAGTCATGTATGCCTTTGCATTATAAATTGGTTCTTGTTTTGCCATAAGGTGTGCACGGTTGTGGTGGAGCGATGCCCCGTGCACCTACGCGAAATAAACATACCTACTTTACAACTCTCCAGGTTATAGAGTGTATTTCCCCACGTTAATATTAAGTACCTCAAAATTACCTGCAGGACTGCGCTGTAGGTTCGACTCATAAATCCTAACCAGGACTGTGGCAGCAGTATGGAGCGGTGCCATTCAGAAGGCTGAATGTTAACCTGTGCAACACACCAGAAAGGGTAGAAGTAGTTACACTACGTCTAACATAGGCAGAATGTATGTTCTCCAGCCTGTGATTTGCAGGCAACCATTTGCTCGCGCCCACGGGACATTACACATGGCTGTAGGAAACCAAAATGATAATGTATTTGGTTCTCCTTTTTGGTTTTACCCACACCAAGTTACTTTCAACTTCGTTACCCAGGCCAGACAAAATTGGTTGCTTCAGATAGTTCAACAGACAGCTGACTCTAAAAAGAGAGCAGTGGAATTTTACGCGGCAATAAGCATAACACTTAGTAGCACTAATAGACAAAAATATGTACAGAACAAAATCTTAGTGCAGTTTATGTTTGCCATAGCTTTTGTAAATCTTAGGTGCTTCTAAAAGCTTTAAACAGACACTTAAAATAAATACAAGTAGATGACTATCTAAATACAGGGGAGATTATTCAAAAGCAGTTAGTATCCATGACTGGGGTATATATAACAGTGTTCAAATATATACTTCAAACATTTTTAAAGGAAAGAAACTGTTAAAAAAGGGAAAGAAATCGAAGTTTCTTTCTAGAAAGCACCACTATAGAATCAACAGGAGGAAAACAACACCGCCTCAGAGACAGTTTAAGGAAACATGGAACAGCTTTCCCTATCTGCCTCCAAATCTCATACAGGTACGACAGCCTCCAACTCAGAACAAAAGAATAAGTCAACTACACAATCTGATGTATGTGCACAGACTTTCCTCAGAAGCCCAAGGTTTTTCTCTTCAGTAAGCACCATAGCAAACCGACTCAAAGATTTTTTCAGAGGATATTGAAAAACAAAAATACAGTGATCTCAGTAACAAGCTATTTTCTAGCCCTTGGTAGCTTCACAAAGTAATTACAGGGGTAAATCAAACAGAATGGGTCACAAATTCAAGGCCACCAAGAAAGTCTTCCCAGACATTAGAGTCCTGCATGATACACGCACCTCCCTCTCCGCAATTTGCATGTTACACAATTTAGAAATGAAAATGTATTATCTCACAAAAAACGTGTATCACAGCTAATTAGAAGAGTCTCTATTTCCCTCTCTCCATGACTGTTTTAATTGCAGCAACATTTTATAAAAGTAAGATAGGAGTTCAGGTATCCTCTCCTTTTTTAACTGCTGTGTTTTCAGACCCACAAACAACAAACTCTGTAATTAAAATGATGGCTGTGCATTGTTACAGCTCATCTTATTCCACGGTGGACATACAGAATTGACTTTTCTTGCTACATCCAATTATTTCTACTGTCTGCCTCTACCAAAAAGATGAAAAAAGTCATCATAGCCATTTGGAATCATCAGGAATAAGTTATTTAATCTCAGCAGTTTCCAAGGTAATCAGTTTTTAATAAAGGAAAGGCAAACATGTCAGGTTGAGGTGAGATGGGATATATCTCAGTATCCGCTGCTTAAGGCCGACACTTTCTATGTCTAAACTAAAAGAACATGCCAGACTCCCTGAGTTTCAGGAAAAACCTGTGAGCTGTGATCAAAAATTGTGCAAAGACCACCGAGAGTAACTAATCTTGCCAGGTTCAATCTCAAAAGTTCATTTTTCTTCCTTCTTACTCCTCCTATTTTATTTTATTACAGACACTAGTCACTGTTAACATGTAAAACACTCCATTCCTCAAAGTACACAAAACCTTCCTTTCTCCATCATGTGCTCCACTGGCCTCCTCTGTACAGGACAGTAAAGCAAGACGAACAACTGAACTTACCTTGTCTGCTAATTATCTTAAGTCTTCCTACTTCACCTCCTCTATTTTATGCCCCTCGTGATCCACATAAAAGCAGTCAATATTCTTTCTTTATACAGATTTTATAACAAAAACCAAAGGGTCATGCTAAAGCTTCATGCCCACTGTCAGTGGCAAACTTAAAACAGTTTTGAGTAAGTACTAATACATCTATATGTCGTGGGTTAGGTTAAACCG